TAGTTAATGAACTAGTATTTTTTCTAACTGGTTTGGCTTTTCACTGCAGGGGTTAAATAAATGTAAGTAAAAAAATGTTATTCAATTTATAAATAAATAACAAATTTGAAAATCTAATTGCATTACAAAAAAACATTTAGGAAGAAANTTTCCCTGCGCCAGGATTTGAACCTGGGACCTCAGGCTGACCACGCGAGTGCTTTGCTCTGTCGGCCATTGGGACTGCTGGAGCGTCGCGAGCAAAAAGGCACACTAATGCTTTTCACGGGTCATCAACTGGTATGATGCTACTAGTATTTATACTAGTAGATGCTGATGCATAGCCTGACAATTGACATCTCGTAGGACATCGCAATGTTAAAAATACCAGTCGCTAACATTGAAAAAGGATAGAACATGAACTAGTTGAGCTGAAACGCAAACTGGTAGAATTCTAGTTCACAACTAGTAGCTTTCCCTGCAGGGAAACCCCACGTGGCTGCATGATGATTCTAAAACAATTGCCGCGATTTCACACATCTTCCCCCTTAAGTTAAGACCTAACGATATTCCTGGCGAAACTAGCTTCCATACTGGAGACTGCCTACGTCTTAAGAAACAAGCAATTGCCTGATTTCCAGGGATAAGAGTATTCACAAGAACAGAGAGTTTCTCAACCCCTCTCTCCGTAACGGAATCCATCAGGCCTCTTGAGCAAACCCAGCTTTGTGGTTTGGTATTCGTTAAAAAACTTGTACCAACTTAACTGTTTGAATGAAAACTTTCTTCTTCATTTTGTGGTCACTAAAAATGTTCTTAAACTAAATAATCGATTTTGTCAATTACAGGCCTATTTTGCTTGTAACCGAACATTTTTTAACTGGGAAAATTTAGTAAAATACATAATATTATTGTGTGTTTTGTATACAAACATTTAAGTGACTATTTATGTATTTACGTGAAAATTGCTTATTTACTTTTAATAGATTGACTCGAATTTGTGCCACATCTGCACATCCAAGCGATAGATCAATGTCACTGGCGTTTATTGCACAACATTTGTCACACGGCATTAAGTATGGATACAATGCAATCAGTAACAAGGTATGCGCCAATAAAATTTTAAATTATTTTAAAGAAATAAGGTTTTGGGAAAACTGTTGAACATTAATTAGCAATTACAAGCAGAAGTTTTCTAAACAAATTTTAACATAGAAATAAAAGGAAAGGTATGACTATACGGAAAAGTATATTTAGTTGTCTTTAATTTCCGCAAATTGGTATGTTTGGTGCGCTTTCACGGTAAAACCTATTTGACCTTGGATCAGCATACATATAGAATAGTTTTTGTATAAAAAGTTAAACTAAATTTAAGTTAGAAGTTCAACGACACTTTAAATTATGGACGTAAAACTTTATTTCCAAAATGGTTGCCATCCATTTAAAAAGTGAAATGCAAATGGCAAATAAAAAAATGTTTAAGAGCGTTGCCACTTGTTTATAAGGCAAAGGTATTTAATTCAATATTAAAACATACTACGGGTATTCATGGGAACGCGTAAATACCTCGTAACAGTATAAACCTCGTAAATAAACCGATTTTCCACCTAAAATTAAGTAAGTTTACGAGATTGACATGGTTACGAGGTATTTACGCGTTTAGATGAATTTCCCTATCATAAATTCAATGTAAAATGAAAGAAGATTACTTTAAATTATTTTCAAAAATTTTCAAATGGCGTTCACACCTTGTCAAAACCAAACTTAATTTAATTAAAAAATAAAATTAAATATATCTTAAAATATTTATGTCAAACGGAACAAGTTTAAGAAATATTTATTTTGAAAAATTCTAGAGGTGCCACATGTATAATGTATATTCGAATCAAATTAAATAAAATATTTATATATGTAAGGCGCTTAAGACGGCTTTATTTCGAATCTATTATGAAATGGGGTTGCCACCTATTAAAATACTAATTCAGTTTAATTAATAAGTTAAGTGTAATAATTCAATAACACTGGACCACTAATTTTAGTTTGGTTTTTGTTCTCCAGCCGCCACTATCCAATTTCTATGAAGAATTGTTCGGTGATTCCGAAAGTCGAGTTAACTTTTTTTTTTCTACGGATACGTTTTCGAAATATTTGCAATTAGGACGAATTTTTTTGAAGTCGGTTAATAAAATGAAAATCTAACGACAATATTTTCACTGTTTGTTGTAGCAGCTTACTATAAACTCGGTCGAAATCAGTGCATCGATGTTATCTTGATTGTCATCTAACGGTAGCCGCGGAGAAAGGTCAGATCCAACTGGTTCGGGCCTTAGGGAGAGTGATGTTAGTTGAGCTGATGTGAGTAGGCATGTGAATAGGTGGTAAGTGTGGTCGGAGCAACTTATTCAAATTGGACTGAATAACTTATGCTACAATATCCCGAATGGAGTTGTGTCAAAGTACCGCGGACCTCACGAAGCTACTCGAGCTCTTCGTCTGGGATAGCTGGCGTTGGTAGCCGATGATTGAAATCATGGGGTGAGAGTTGCCAAAGGTTTTGATTGCTTGCTTCTCGATGAATGGCCTGTTCATAATAGACTATATTTTTATAGTTGGTCTTCTTCAGCGGATTCATTCCCAAGAGCGGCGTTTCTGTTTACATGCTCGAGTTATTCCCGACAAAGCCTGTTGTTTTAAAGATCTAATCTTTTCTGTTTTACTTGAAACCTAAAATGCATCGAACTTACTTTTGATTTCAAAATTAAGGGGTCATATTGTAATTTGGGTAATGATTTCTGCAAGTTCATTTCAGCAAGTGCTACTATAGAGAAAATATATGTAAAATGAAACCCGGGGTTTTCTTAAATTCAGAACGGAGAACCGTTTTTTTTTTTTTCAATTGAAATTGTTTGTATTTCTCGAAAACCATAGATCGAACACCCTATTTGTTATGTATAAGTAGCGCTTGGCAATAGGAATATAATTATTTGGGCTCAATAGGAAGCATTTTGGCTATTATATAAGCGTACATAATTACTACAACGATAGGAAAAAAGTCGTAATACCGCTGATTATTTACACTTATTTAACGGGTTTTCATGAAATGACGGCACTTAATACGCAAACTTGCTTAATTGCGCAGATTGTTGTGTAGAGTATCTATATAGGTATGTTAATTACTGTTTTCTCACTGCTGACTTCAATGATCGCCTGACAGACCAATAAAAACGTTGCAGAAACTTCCAGATTTTGTTTTTGTAAAAGAGACCAAAGTAAACACGAAAGTGGAAGGGGAAAATAAAAATATTATTATTTTTTTTTTTGTAAGTACTTAAGTATTTTAAATACAATAACGCGTAGTCCAAAAAAACCCGGTCATACGAAGCGCATACAGGGGCACGTTCTAATACAGAATAATGTCATGGATTCGCTGAGTAAAATAGGTACAAACATATGCAGATCTGTGCCAAATAATTCATATGCGAATAGCTTATGACACAACAACAGCTTACGCAAAAAAAAGACAAAAAAAATCGAAACTTTCCCACTGTCTGTACAAACACGCAAAGTTTTGCGACTTTGAAATTTGAACGCCTATGCAAAAAAAAACGCAAAAACGGAAACGAACACAAAATGCGTTCTTACATACTCAAGCAGCCGAGTATCCAAGTACTTAAACTCAAAATGAAATAATGAATTTCGCGTGGCACAATCGCAGCTTCGCAGCGTTGAGATCGTCGCCTAACAAACATTAGGCGTTGTTGTTGCGGCAGCGCGTTGATTTGAATTGATTTTCGATTTTTGTAGCCTTTTTTTGCTACATTTGTTTTACCCTTATTTGCACAAAAACCAAGCATTGTAAATTCATATTCAAACTAACTACTCGTACAAATACTGCCAAGTGCAAATACGCCATTCACGCCAGTGTTGTGCCACTTAAAGGCCAAATGAGTCACACATAAAAAACATGATTTGGTGGAAAATATCCGCATTACGTTCTGAAATGTAGGAATAACAAATACAAACATACATACATGTGTTTAAGCAACCAACAACTTTTCGGCATGAAATTAGATTTTTTTTTGGTTTTTGTTTTTGTGCTCATACAAAGCAGGCACGCATACTTTGCGCTGCTTATATGCCACGAGAATGCTGGCAAACGGCATAGAAACCCCAAACAAAATAACCTACAGACGCTTAAATTTTTTGCGCTTTCTTTACTTTTTTCTTTTTTTACTTTGTAACGATTTAACGATTTTCCCATGCGTTGTAACGCCACTTTTATGAGCACGAGCTGCGTTTTTTTTATTGCTATAATTATGCCGAAATATTTTTTAAAACACTAAATTTATTTATTTTGCGTATTTGGTAGAAAAGCGTGGATTTTGAAATTATTGCTTATTTTTCGTAGAAATTTTTTGATTGCTATTTTTTTATTTTGTAACTCTCTTATTTTTCTTAAATTTGTTTCAGTTGTAATTTGCATAAATTTTCAAGTCACACAATTTTAATTCGATTTTCTAAACTTTTACACTTTACCAGCGTACATATTTATTAAATTTATATTCATTAATTATATTATTTAAAATTTAAATCACAAAAATCACTGTCTACGTTGCTGCTGTACGACGCCGCCACAACGTCTGACACACAAAACACGTAACACCGCAATGAGGCAGCGACAAGGCAATAGTCACAGTCACAGTCACAGTTGGCTCGGGCCAGTCCGCCAAACAGTCTCTGTCTCTGCAGAAGTATGTAGCAGAGGCAATAGCCGTGAAAGGGCCAAATAGAAGGAAAGTGGAAAAACAGAAAACGCCGAATAGCGAACAGCAAAGCACAACACAGCAGCAAACCGCATGCCAAAAACACTCACACATACACACATACACGCACGCATAAGCAAGCAATATAACGGCAGTCGGTCACATCGCATACGAACGTCAACACTAATACACTCCCAAAGGCAAGCGGTCGCCTGAAAGGCGGCCAAGTTAAATGCCTACATACATACATACGCGGGCAGGCAAGTACTTACATATGTATGTGTAGCTCCTTAGTCGGTTAGTAGTGTTGGTTGGATGCATCAGCTTGCACGTGTTTTTGCACTTACTTGTTGTTGTTGCACACGTGCGCGCGCATGCCGTGGAATAAAGAGAAAGAGCGCGAGAAAAGCAAAGGAGAGAGTGCTTAAAAAGAAATTGCGAAAACAAAAAAAAAACAACAAAAACCAAACCGAAAGTAAAAGTAAAAGCAAAGGCGAATAAGAGAAAGACAGTGCAAATGTAGAGCAGTGGAGAGTGCAAGAGCTAGCGAAAGAAGCAGCACGTTGGGTGTTGAATAGCGGGCAAGTGTGTTGAATTCGAATGAGTGTAGACAATACCCAGCTAAAAATCCTATTACCACGGAAGTTAAAATGGAATCGAATTAGGCGATGGGAATCGCTTATCCTTACGCTTCAAGAAGGCATTATTTTAACATGGGCATGTCAATGGCCGTAATCCCTTATCCGCAGCATTACCTTCGAACCAAGAGAGAACGCATCGGTAAACAGAATCCAGGGAAGCGAACAAAGAATGCCTTACGGAGAAACTAATGTAGAATGCCAAATACAGATTACCTTAAAATATTATTATTAATTAAATTTTTTATAAATCATTTTTTTATTCATACATATGTATGTATCAAGGTATTTAGATCTTACTTAAAAATCGGTATGTAAATACATACATATTTAATTAACCTGAAAATTGTACTTCCTCACTCATTTACGTCACTTCATTAACTGACTTCAAATTCGTTCTAAATTAAAGAAAGCAAAACATGATTTTTTATATGATTTTATATATTCATTCTATTTTTCAGCTGACTACGGTAATGAATCAAAGCAGCAAAATTAATAAAATATTGTAGAACATTCTGCTATGCATTACCGGCAATGCCTAAAAGAAGCTAAAAATTCGAAAACATTATAAGGAAATGCGTTCTAGAACACATTACATACCACTAAAAGCGATTACCGATTTCGATTTTTTGCTGGGTACAAGCTCACCAACTTATACACATACATATATAACGGGTGATTTTTTTGAGGTTAGGATTTTCATGCATTAGTATTTGACAGATCACGTGGGATTTCAGACATGGTGTCAAAGAGAAAG